CAGCCCAGAGTATACACAAGTGATTTTGCTGTTGATGATGATGATGATATAATCTGAAGCAAGGAGGCTCATATTTAGTTTTCTAAATGCTGAACTCTTTAAAATGCATTTATTTCATCAATGAGAATTAGATAGATGCAAGTGTGTAAAAACAGGGACAAAATGCAGACGGCCCTGCATTCCTTAGGTTTCAAGGGTCCTTACAGCTCTTGAGTGAAATTATTTGGTAAAATTGGGTCTGGACTTGGACAGCCTTGCTTAGTTCCATCTGTAATACCACTTCTGAAAATTAAAGGCAAAGTCCTGAAGAGACACACAAGAAGAAAAAAAATAAGATTAAGCGATTTTAAATTGCCAGTCCAGCCTGCATCCCTCTGCAGAGCTGTTCTCAGTAAATAGAAAGAGTGATGTTTGTGTTTGCTTTTGGTACCATCTAGAAAGGCAGCTTGCGGTCCCCGTCAATAATCCCCCACACTTCTAAAACCTGATAAGTTTGGTATAGGAAGGAAATGGGGGTAAATGCAGGTAAAAGAATGACTATAGATTTGAAAATTGTGCTAGAAAAATTAAGGTGTCTCCTACAGGGTCTCCAGTGAGTCCCGAAGAAGCGAAGTTCCACAGAGACATAATTTAATTTCTAATCTTTGCTACTGATTCTCATGTCCTAACTTTCCCAGCAAATTGTTTGTTGATCTGATCGTTTGGAGGAAGTATGTGATTTTATTTATTCACTTAGTTATTTGGAAAAGAAATCCTCTGATGCATTTCTTTACCTTCCTTCACTTGTGTTTGTTTCTTAAATCTTGAAGAACCAAGCTGTTCCTTCCGGAAGCCTGTGGCACCCTCCCATGTGGAATGACTGGGCATTTTTGTGACTTTGAGGGGCTGAAGGAAACATTGTAAGAAATGGCATATGTCACTGTCCTTACTCTGCCATTCTGGGTTTTTGGTAGTATTATGGGATAGACATAAATGAAGTCTCACCTCATCAAATCCATCAGCCTTGTCCTAAGCCTTGGGATGCCCACTTATCTCTGGCTTTTAAAATGACAAACTTTTCTATAGTCCCTGTTCTTCCTTTTGCACCTTTCTTTACCCCGTGTGGACCAGGCTCCAAGGCCAAAGTGGGCTCCTAATATATTTAACCAGTTCCCGAATTAGAAAGCCTTTCTGTACATTTTCTCCTATTTTTCTCGCTTCTTTTCCTTACATAATAAAATTAAAACTTTTGGAGCCCAGAGTTGACATTTTTCAGAAAATTGAGTTATCAAGGCAGTAATTATTTCACAGGGAGATAAAACTCTCATAGCCCTAACTGTCAAATAGGACCCTTTTCAGATTTTAATTACAAAATAAAATTAGTCTGCTCTTACTCGGAACGGTTGGCGAGTGGTTAAACAGAGCTTTCCCCAATACTGGTGGTCGTCAAACTCTGCTAATTAGCAATGCTGAGAAATTCCAGTTAACAAGGGCATTCTCCCGGACTCTGCGGGTCCCCTGCCGTTCGCCTTCATTTCCATAAGGAGATTAAGGGAGGAGGGGAACCCACTCAAATGCAGATGCCGGAGAGAAGCATTTTTTAACAAGCATCATAATAGTAAGGTGCTTGGCTAGTTCTTGCCTAATTACTGCAAGTTAAACCTCTATTTGCCACTAAGAAGAAAAAAATCAGTCTATAGTCCCCATCTTTACAAAATTGTCTGTTGGCTTCAGATATAACGCTTCAGGACAGATAGGGAGAGTTTAGGAGAGAAAAATCGATGTGAAAGATGTTTAAATAAAATTGAGTTACACTTAGCAGTTAAGGCTCTCTGGCTAGGGCAGAACAAAATAAAATCAGATTACTCCAGGCGCATGCTAATTACCAATATTGGTCTAAAAAGTGTATAGCTCTTTGCTGCCCATGGAAGGGAAGTGTTACACTCTCTTTAGATGAAGCACTTCCAATTTTCATAAACTGTGCCAGTGGCAACATTTTAAATTCTCGGAGGATGAAGCACCGTGTTCCAAGTCTGGTAGTCAATAGTGTATTGTTGCTGGTACCATAGCCAGCTACTATGAACCTAAAAGAGGCTTGTCTCTGTCATGGGCTGGGACTGTTTAAAGTTATATTTATGGGGCCATGGTGGGTTCTGGATTGAAATCAGGTGGCCAGTTATCTGATTTTTTTAATGCATATATTCTAAAAAAAATTTGAGAAAATGGTTTCTGCTATCACCATCTTCTTTAACCTTATTTTCATCGAACATTATTATGCATAAACGCCAGCCACAGTTAGTTTATCGCCTGGATAAGTACAGCAAGCTTAATTAAAATAAAGCCGTATATAAATGCTACGTATGATAACACAATCGTAATGTAGCTTGTTTATATGATAAAGGCAATTAACAAAAGACCTCGCCAGGCCTGTTGCCCTCTTAAGTACATTATTATAGAGTTCAGGTGCAAACACGTGCATCTGAGAGTTATAAATCATCCCAAGGGGGAAAAATATTCTGCACTACATACTGCTTCTCCAAAGAAAGATGGAGATTTAAAAGCTTTTCCTCTATCACCATCCATTATTAGTATTTATCTTAATATACACCAACATTATCCACACCAAGTCGTTGAGGTTTTTTTTTTCTTCAAACTTAATTATCCGTCAGCTTTTCTAAGTTTTCAGAATAATACTATTAAGCGCCCGCCGATGCATACACAATCATAAAGTGAGTCCTCCGCCTGCCCTCCGTGACGCCTGGACAATCATAATTCATTCATATGTTGAATCTCATAATTTGTATCTTTTTAACCTCCCACTTATCTGGAGGTTCTACGTACATTTCTAAGTTAAGCAAATTAAATTTGATTCTTATGATTTGGTCCCACGGCTTATATGATATGTTAACTTTTCTTTTATTTAGATTATGTGTAGTTTGATCTTCCAACCCCCTCATTTTTTTTTTAAACTTTACTTCCACACACCTTCTTTTAAAGGTAAAAGCACTAATCTTGGAAAAGAGAATTCACCAGCAGGGGGCGCAGCAGTCACATCCCTGAAAACAGGCGCGCGGAAAAGTCGGTGGCCCTCTCCAGCTCAGCCTTCTCTCCAGAGAGTCGAGCTGAGCTTACCATTACGTCCCGATTAAGCTGAAAACGTGCTTTAATTTGAAGCCTACCAAATATTTATGCGTTTCGAGATGACCTTTCCGGGTTCCCAAGAATTAACGTAACCTAAAACTTAAAAAGAGAAAAGAGAGCCTGGGGCGGGGGTGGGGAGTGGAGGGGGAATTATTTCCCAGTTCTCAGGATTCTTTCCCACAACTTTTTTGGGGCTCCGGTGGGCATGCTTAGCGTTAGTGTGACAACTGCCAGGCTTGGACCAGCAGGAATTGGAGGCGTTGGGGGAGGGGCGAGGCGGTGGGAAGGAGGTAGGAACAAACAGGACATGTAAGGACCATGAGCCCGGAGTGTGGCCGGCAGATACTATTCAGTCCTTTTCCTTGGGCGACTTGGGGTAGAGGAGGGGAGGAGGGGCGGCGAGTTGCAGAGAAAAGAAATACGTAACCCTGATGGTTTAAGCCCTTTATAAAAAAAAAAAAAAAAAAGGCCTAGGATCTTTCCCCTACTGTCCGTCCTTTGTACCCGAGTGCGTATTAGCCACAAAGGTTCCAACAAGACAGTGGAAGGAAACTTAGACGGGGCTTTGTTCGACTCCGTGTAGCGACAAGAGAAACAAAACTACCTATTTGTAACGGACGTGGTGCCGTGGCTCAGCGCTTTCGGAGCGCCTGCAGATAGAAATCTTTACGTCCGGACAATGGGAGAGCGGCTAAAATTACCCTCTCTGGGCCGGGGCGGGCAGCATTCTGGAGCTCACACCCCCGCCCCCAGTGCATCCTCCTGCAGCCCAGGCCTTGCCGGGGCCCGGGCTCCGGGTGGTCGCCGGCCCGGTCCTTGCGCCCGCCGCCTGCACCTGTCCTCGGGAGCCCCGACGCCGCGCAGCCCCTGACCCTGGCGGTCCGGCCTCCCAGCCGCCGCCGTGCCAGGGAAGTGAGCGAGGGCCGTGCCCGCGCCGCGGTGCCCCGGTCCTGGGAACGCTGCGTGGGAGGGAGTTGGTGCGCGCGGCCGAATGCCACCTCCGAGCCACGCGGTGGGATGCCAGGAAGTTGCAGTTGGCCCACCCCCGTGGCCTACGCTTCGGAGCCTCTCCCCGCGGATTCTTTCGTCCTCATCGCAAACTACCGGGGCAGAAATCCTCTTGGGGTGGGGGCAGGGGAGTAGGAGGAGAGTGGAGAGGGGGAGTCCAAGCGTCGCCTCTGCACCCCCTGGATGGGACAGATCGGTAGGGGGTGCGGGTTGGGACCTCCGCTGGGGCGCCCGGAGGCTCAGCTGAGAAGGGTCGTGAGCAAGGCCCTGCCCGCTCAGCTCTGCAGCCATGGGCCTCGGCAAGGAGGACGCGTGTTTGGGGACCGAGCGGAGAACGTGGAAGCCCGGAGGGCGCAGAGGCCCGAGGCTTGGGTCTAACTTCTGTGGGTGCAGGGGGAGATGGGTGGGTGCTGGCCCCAGGGTAGGAATCGGGGCCTGGGTGAGGGACTGGAGCCGGGAGCCGAGCGGGGACCGGCCGGGGAACAATGGCCCGGCACCTCCGGCCCGGCCGGCTTCCTGAAATAGGAGTTGGACAGTCGCCCCGATCCACCCCTGCGCCCTGCCCCACCCCCGCCCCTGCTTCCCGCGCCCGTCCTCCCTCCCGCAGCCCACGGGCAGCACCGATTCCGTGGGAAGGGGGCAAAGGCGCGGCCGTCTGGGTGCTGTTTACCCACTTCCTCCGAACAGGCGTGCGCCGTGACCTGTTGCGGAGTCCGGGATACAAAGGTCCCCCCGGCCGGCCGCGGGCTGCGGGCCCGCCTCCCCCACGCGGCTCCCCGCGTCCCGCTCGGCTGGGCTCGGCGGCGCGGCAGGCCCCGCCCCCTTTCATGCAAAAGCCGCCGGCTAGGCTGGGCTCGGGCGCAGGAGCCGGCGCGCGCTGATTGGCCGCCGGAAACCCATTTATTCCCTGACAGCCCCCGTCACATGGATGGTTGTCTATTAACTTGTTCAAAAAAGTATCAGGAGTTGTCAAGACAGAGAAGAGAGTGTTTGCAAAGGGGGGAAAGTACTTTCCTGCCTCTTTAAGACTGGGGCTGGGAGAGAAGCGCGTAGAGAGAGGAAGAAGTTTGCGCCCGGGCTTTAGCCTTTCCAAAAATTAATCCCCGCGATCGGCGCGGCGCGGCCGGGGACGACAGCGCCTCTTCCAGCATCCCCAGGCCCGCGCGCCCGGCTCGACCTGCGCTTCCCCTCGCGGCTCTCGGCCGGCTCGGCGCGGGGCCGTGCTCCCGACAACCCCGCCCGCAAAAAGGGTCGGGCGGGCGGCGCCCGCGCCCGGCGCCCGCATGTACAACATGATGGAGACGGAGCTGAAGCCGCCGGGCCCGCAGCAGGCTTCGGGAGGCGGCGGCACCGGCACGGCGGCGGCGAGCGGCGGCAACCAGAAGAACAGCCCGGACCGCGTCAAGAGGCCCATGAACGCCTTCATGGTGTGGTCCCGGGGGCAGCGGCGCAAGATGGCCCAGGAGAACCCCAAGATGCACAACTCGGAGATCAGCAAGCGCCTGGGCGCCGAGTGGAAACTTTTGTCGGAGACCGAGAAGCGGCCGTTCATCGACGAGGCCAAGCGGCTGCGCGCTCTGCACATGAAGGAGCACCCGGATTATAAATACCGGCCGCGGCGGAAGACCAAGACGCTGATGAAGAAGGATAAGTACACGCTGCCCGGAGGGCTGCTGGCCCCCGGCGGGAACAGCATGGCCAGCGGGGTCGGGGTGGGCGCCGGCCTGGGCGCGGGCGTGAACCAGCGCATGGACAGCTACGCGCACATGAACGGCTGGAGCAACGGCAGCTACGGCATGATGCAGGAGCAGCTGGGCTACCCGCAGCACCCGGGCCTCAACGCGCACGGCGCGGCGCAGATGCAGCCGATGCACCGCTACGACGTCAGCGCCCTGCAGTACAATTCCATGACCAGCTCGCAGACCTACATGAACGGCTCGCCCACCTACAGCGTGTCCTATTCACAGCAGGGCACTCCCGGCATGGCGCTGGGCTCCATGGGCTCGGTGGTCAAGTCCGAGGCCAGCTCCAGCCCCCCCGTGGTTACCTCTTCCTCCCACTCCAGGGCGCCCTGCCAGGCCGGGGACCTCCGGGACATGATCAGCATGTACCTCCCCGGCGCCGAGGTGCCGGAGCCCGCCGCGCCCAGCAGACTGCACATGGCCCAACACTACCAGAGCGGCCCGGTACCCGGCACGGCCATCAACGGCACACTGCCTCTGTCACACATGTGAGGGGCGGACCGTGAACTGGAGAAGGGGAGAGACTTTCAAAGAAAAACCAGGAATTGGGCGGGGTGCAAAGGAGGAGAGAGAAACAAATAGCCTGGTATGCTCGAAAGAAAAAAAAAAGAAAAATCTCACGACCCGCAGCCAGTGACAGCTGCGAAAGAGACCACCAATCCCATCCAAATTCACGCAACGACCGCGATGCAGACGAGAAAACTTTTATGAAAGATCCTGGGACTTCTTTTGGGGGTCATATTTTTGTACAGAGAAAACCGGAGGGCGGTGGGGAGGGCGGGGGAATGGACCGTGTATAGATCTGGAAGAAAGAAACTACGCAAAACTTTTTTAAAGTTCTAGTGGTACGTACGGTAGGCGCTTCGCAGGGAGTTCGCAAAAGTCTTTACCAGTAATATTTAGAGCTAGTCTCCGGGCGACGAGAAAAAAAACGTTTTAATATTTGCAAGCAACTTTTGTACAGTATTTATCGAGGTAAACATGGCAATCAAAATGTCCGTTGTTTATAAAAGCTGAGAATTTGCCAATATTTTTGGAGGAAAGGCTCTTTGCAGAATTTTGATTCTGCGGTTTAAATTTAAGGCACCTACAAACATGGAAAGAAGAAATTTATTCGGATTTGGACATTTTAGTTGTTTTAAAATTGTACAAAAGGAAAGAGGCAAAGCTGTCTTCGTGGTCTTATTTCAAGGGCAAAAGTTTTAGATTGTACTACTAAATTTTTTTAACTTACTGTTAAAGGCAAAAAAAATGGCCGTGCAGGTTGACATCACTGGTAATTTATAATAGCTTTTGTTCAATCCCACCTTTCCATTTTGTTCAGATTTTAAAAAACATGAAATTACTGTGTTTGAAATATTTTCTTATGGTTTGTAAGATTTCTGTAAATTTATTGTGATATTTTAAGGTTCCCTCCCCCCCCTTTTATTTTCCGTAGTTGTATTTTAAAAGATTCGGCTGTTATTTGAATCAGTCTGCCGAGAATCCATGTATATATTTGAACTAATACCATCCTTATAACAGGTACATTTTCAACTTAAGTTTTTACTCCATTATGCACAGTTTGAGATAAATAAATTTTTGACATATGGACACTGAAATATACGCTTGAGTCTTTCATTTATTTGGATAGCAAGGCTTAGACATAGCTTCTTGGGGAATTAGAACACTGAGTTCAGCCACCAAAATCTTGATGTTACCAGCACAGCAGTGTTCACTGCAGGGAAAAAAATAAATAAAAATGGCTGGATGATTAACTGGAAAAACTGAAATGCTTGTGTTGTTTCTGAACGAGAAGCTAGAGACATAGATTCCAGTCTACGGCCTCCTTTCTCCCAGGATGACTATAGGTGGCCGGTTCTAACTGGCTGTGCCACTTGTTGCCAGGAGTCAGTTCTGACATTTTTCCTGTAGCTTAGCAGATGGGGTATTGAGTCAAATCTGGACCAGGTTTGCCAGAGTTTGTTTTCATTTTCTTCACAATACAATAGCCCTCTGAAATGTGGTTTGTAGGGGGAAATGTTTCTTGTATCCGAATAATTATAGTGCAGGCATGAAGCAAATTCTGCAGGGTGGGTATTTGGGGGACTGGCCCTGTGTTCTTAGGAAACAAGTGGTTTGCTGTCTTTGTTCCCCGAGTTCATAAACTTTCTCCTCTACATCTTCCTGTTTAGGGGCGAGGGAAAAGCAAAGAACGTCTTGCAAAATTCCCTCATTTATCGTGGATCTCTTTTTATTTTCTCTCCCCATCCCCGAATTCCATTTCTTAAACTGGCAGCGCGGGGCCCAAGCCTGTAGTCTCAAATCGGATAATCTCTGCAACTGCTAACGCGCAAAGGGGAAGCCAGGCAACCGCGTGTCAGAAGAGAGCGCTCGACTCCGAGGTAGATATTTCGCTTTGTACGCCCGGCTCACATGTGGACGTGATTAAGCTTTTGATCTGTTAACTGTTTTTACTTCTGTAGTGGAGAGCAGGAGGAGGGAAGAGGGTGGGGAAACGAGATTGGATGTGCTGTTTTCTTTTGCCCCGGGAAAGGTAAAGAAAGCTTGCCGTTGTCTTCGGCGGCGGGAGCAGGAAAAGTTGGAATCGCCGTGGTCTTTGAATTCGCGAAGCTCGCGCGTCCCCACCGCCCCGCTCCCTGGCGCGGCCTGAGCTGCTGCTGCCTTTTTTTTTTTTTTTTTTTTTTTTTTTAGCCAAGAGATGGAAGCAACCTAAATGTCCTTCAAGTGACAAGTGGATAATGAAAATGTAGTTCATTTTTACAATGGAGTTTTACTCAGCAGTAAAGGAAGATGAAATCATGAAATTTTCAGGTAAATGGATGGAACTAGAAACTTAT